ATGGGCCTCGCTCCACTGCTCGCTACGTGCACACAAGATAAAAAGTAGGGCAGTGTATCTTCCCATGTTCCACCAGAAGATTCATTCTCGTTTTCTACATGTGGCCCCTGTGCAAGGATGGCACCGGTAAATCGACAGACAGGGCTTCGCTCCACCGCTCTCCAAATGTGCAAAATGAGACTGAATGCGCCACTAGAACATGGAGAGATACATTGCTATGTTTTTTTGTATTTTGTACACGTGGAGAGTAGCGGAGCGAGTCCCATAGTTGCCAAGAAAACAAAACCACGGAACGAATCTACAGAAAGAAAGAAAGAAAGAAAAGAAAAAAAAAAAAAAAAAAAAAAAAAAAAAAAAAAAAAACCTCGATGAATCTACTGGGTCTCACTCCAGTACTTCCTGAATGTCCAAAATGAGAACGCATCTTCCGCTGGAAAATGGGAAGGTACACCATCATATTTTTTTGTCTTTTGTGCATGTGGGAGTAGTGGAGCGAGCTCAGCTATTCGATGCAGCCAGAAAACGACAAAAAGAAAAGAAAAACGAAGAAGCGGCCTGATGCCAATGTGTGAAATGAGAATGAATCTCCCGGCAGAACATGGAAAGATACAACCCCGTGTGGTGGCACTTTGATGCCTCGCGATGACTCCCACTGCCTGCAGTCACAGAGGGCCGACCCCGCTCCCGCGACGCTTCCAGACCCCACAACGTTCCACCACTTTTCTTTTCCTTTTGCTCCGGGGCAGCCCGTCAGGTGTAAACTTTCCCAACACTCGGGCGAGGTCTCGCATGTGACCGTCACTCAAGACCTGCTCTTTTCTTTAATAATATAATAATAATAATAAATAATATAGGGAAAATCAGATAAATGAGAAATGCAAACCTCTGCTGTGGCAAGGCGGAGCTTGGGTTAGAAATTGTAAATGAATTGGGGAAGAGTCCGAAGAATATGATATCTGACAACGTCAGGTGATTCATGCACAAGTGAAGACAATGGTGAATTCATCGACTTGCAGGGATTTCGGAAAGTTGGAGATGTCCAAAGGGCACTGGTAAGAACGTATCTGGATAGAGAAGGCAGTGACATGCATTCCCACTCTGCAGGACAATGTGCAGATCCACTTGCATTCGGACAAGGGCACTGAGGCCTCTCGACCATTTTCGAGGTCCCCGTATGAAATTCCTTTAAGTGTATCTGTGGATGGATCGCATGATACGAATTGGCCCCGACTCACCTCCCAAATATGTTATTTGCCCACTTCCCAAATGGCTTACCATTTTCTTTCTTGTTAAGGTTACATTGTTTCAACATTCCTGTTTTTTTCTCTTTATCTATTGCCCCCCCCCCCC